TTTAAGAGCTGGCATTATTTTTACATGCTCGAACACGTCACGTAATACGCTGGTTAGGCATAATACAGCCAGCGGTGCTCTTGATGATACCTCACCAAGTTTTGATAAGATTTGTTGTAAGGACTGCCCGAAATTTTACATAGGAGAAACCTTTAGAGCTTTTGATAAAATAATTAATGAGCATAGAAGTGATTTTAGAAACGCCAGAGAATCTAATGCTTGTTTTATTCCCTTACGTGACAAAGGACATCAGTTGAACACCAAATTAATTCATAAAGCGTAAAAATCGTATGAAAGAAAAATGTGAAGCCCTGTTAATAAAAAAATAACCAATTTGAATTTGAGTGCTGGCCAATGGGGTTTGTTAGTTAGTAATGCCTTCCCCAGACTCTTCGACCTTGACCCTCCTCTTGAGAACTGATTCACATCTTGTTCGTTCTGTCTTTCTACCGCTATATAATCTTGTAACCATTTTGGTTTTGTCTGAAGAGGAACTCGTGAAGCGTTCGAAACATTACAATTATTTTCATTGTGGTTGTATATATATATATATATATATATATATATATATATATATATATATATATATATATATATATATATATATATATATATATATATATATATATATATATATATATATATATATATATATATATATATATATATATATATATATATATATATACATACTTATATATACACACATACACACATTCATATGTATACATACACATACAAATATATATATATATATATTATATATATATATATATATATATATAATATATATATATATATATATATATATATAATATGAATTCTCGCCACTGCTACTGCATGTAATGGCTGGTTATTGTTGGGAAAGTTATAGGAACACATCTCGTGACGTCATTGGAACTAATTCCTTGAGGTGGCGCTGCGGGTCGTTTTTCAGGTCTGATTTTGAAGACGATGTATGTTTCTGTAAAAAAAAAAAAAAAAAAATACTTCAAAATGCATGGTTTCGATAAAACATTGATTCTAAACATGTTTCCTCTGAAAGTAACATCAACAAACATGGGAGAAAAAAATGCAAAGTTATAAGTGGGCTTGGTGGTTACTCTTTAAAGCAACTTGTGTAAGAGTATGCGTATGTTTATACATATATGTGTACGCACACGATTCACATTTTTATAGATAAAACCGCGAGTATCTGTTGCCACCAAGACATGGAAAAGCCTCCCACCTCGGTTCTTTGTGGTCTTTATCTCTCCGCCTGCAGCATCCTCCTCCCTCTTCTTATCAGCCACTTCCTTCATCGAGCGAGAAAGCGATAAGGAAGCGAGAGGTCAAGAGATCGAGCAGACGGCGCCAAATGTCGACCTGGCTTCACCTTCTCCTCCTCGCTCTTGTGGTCAGTCCCTCAGCTCTAGTTCTGTATCTTTAATTCGTCCATTTGTTAGATTCGAATTTGCTCTTATTAATTCCAACAAGCTATTCCTTTTTTCCCTTTTCTCTCTTTTTTTCTAATTTGGTAAATCATTTGGTGTCTTGGACATTTCATGGAAGCAATTTAGTAATGATGATATGTCAGCCATATTAAAACATTGGTTTTAAAGGCTTTGAAACCTATACATCCATCTCTCCCAGCACCTTCTATACTTTCCAAATGAATATAATGTGTATTTTTCACCCTCATTCAAAAGCCTTCAGAGAGGTGTTGACATGCGTCTCTTGCCAGGTGCGACGCAAGCGGATTATGCACCCACATGGGACTCCTTGGACACACGCCCGCTGCCCCCTTGGTATGACGGCGCCAAGGTGGGCATCTTCCTCCACTGGGGGGTCTTCTCCGTGCCTTCCTTCGGCTCGGAGTGGTTTTGGGAGAACTGGCAGGGTTTGTCTTTTGACTTTGTATTTATTAATGATTATTATGGTTTCCGAATTTGTTAAGAGAAAGACAATTTCTTTGTATTTATTATTACTGTTATCGTCCCTTTATACTTTATCAACACTGTTCTAATAACAGTATTCTCATAATCATGACTACAATTAGTAACATTATAAACATCAATGCAATATATAAGTATAATACAATATACCTAACAACAAACAGGTAGGCACGAATCTCCCTATGTGGATTTCATGAACAAGAATTTCCGTCCCAACTTCACGTACGCGGACTTCGCGCCGGGGTTCACGGCCGAGTTCTTCGATCCCGAGGAGTGGGCGAGCGTGTTCAACGCCTCGGGCGCTCGCTACGTCGTCCTCACCAGCAAGCACCACGAGGGCTTCACCCTGTGGCCCTCGCGCTACTCCTGGAACTGGAACAGCCTCGACGTCGGACCCAAGAGGGACTTACTGGGTCAGTAAACACACTTCACTCTAATTACGTTCCACCAACCCTTGTTCAAATGATTTCAATCGAAACCAAATGTATATCCACACTCACCTCTTTTTCATTCATGATTGCCAACCTGCAGGAGACCTAGCAAAGGCCGTCCGCTCGAAGAGCCCG